AGCAGGTCACAGCCAAGTCTCTGCGTAAGTAATATGGGCGGGTGAGTAAGCGTTGTGAACGAATCCGTTATAGCGTAATGGTGACACAGTTAGGAACAAGCGGCAGATAACTGTGTCATGGTGGGTTGTGCTGTGTAGAATGTGGACGAAAATAATGCATTTAATCCATGTTGGAATAATGCTGTAACATAACAAAATGTGGAAAAAGTGACGCGCTGTGAAAACTTTCCGGATGCACCGTAAAGAAGGATGGATCCTCAATCTCATTAGCCGTTTTTCTGAGGAAAAAGTAGTAAAATATCGTATTTCTAAGCCCTGGAAAGAGCAGTATATTGTTTAGAAATGAGTCATTATTTTATTTTCTACTTTTGTTGTGTTTGCATCTTAAAATATTCCCGTTTAAGAGTTTTAGTTCTGGTAAAACTTCTCAAACTAAAGAACAAATACTTAAATACTGTTAAGAACTAAAAAACGTGACCAAAAACACATTAAAATTCATTCTTCATCCCTTTATTCTCTACCTGTTTTCTTTACATTCCTCCACCTCCACCTCTCCGCCCGCGCATCCGTCCGTCCCGCCCGGACGCCGCTCAGTGTCTCGGCTCACAGACCTGGTAAGCAGCATCCGCAGGGTGCCGCCGGCCGCTGCGCCCGAGGGCGACGCCGCCCCTAGCGCCAGGCCCGCCCCTCCGCCTGCACACGCCACCTCCCCGCCTCCCCCCCGCTCCCCCTCCAGCCCGTCCCCGTCTCCCCCCCAGAGTGAGTACCGCGCGAGCATGACCCTGACGCTCGTCGCCCGGCGTGTTCTGCTTCTGGGGAGGGAAACCCGCCGCCGCCAGGTGTCACGCTGCTGAGGTGGAAATTGAGCAATCCGGACACGTGTGTGTGTGTGTGTGTGTGTGTGTGTTTGCACTCTTTTGCTTTCTGGGCGTTGTTTACCTGCCCGTCAGTCCGCCACGGACGCTTGATGGCTTTTGACTCGGCTTGAGGTCTTAAATACTCGGAGGTAACCGTTGATACGCGGAGATGAACTCTGGTCTCTATTGTACGCGTGTGGATTTGGTTTGTTTGACGTGAATGTTTTGACAAACTAATTCGAGTTAACCTGCGTCTTTCTAGATTTCTGAAACAGAATCCAAAGAAGAATCCAAAGAAGAGAACTGACTGACTTGCGTTGCGTGAAAATTCGACTGGTTTTGAAAAACCAAACCGCTGTTCATCCGTCCTGCGAATGCTTCTGCTTCTCTCCTCTGCAGCACGCAAACAAGAAATCATCAAGATCACCGAGCAGCTGATTGAGGCCATCAACAACGGAGACTTCGAGGCGTACGCGTGAGTCTTCAGTGCCCGGCTTTGGGTTCAAGTGCAAAGTTCATTGGTTAACGCGTAAGGTGTCTTCTCTGCTCCCTCGTCAGTAAGATCTGCGACGCCGGTCTGACTTCCTTTGAGCCGGAGGCGCTGGGCAACCTGGTCGAGGGGATGGATTTCCACAGATTCTACTTCGAGAACCGTAGGGACGACCGATTTCTTTGTCTCTATTTTTTTTAAATTTGCTTCTTGCAGCCCTTGTAAATCCAGTTTTATCGTAAACGCACCTGCTCATTTCCCGGACGTTCATCCCTCGTTCTCTATTTTTCCTCTCCCAGTTTTGGCAAAGAACAGCAAGCCCATCCACACCACCATCCTGAACCCCCACGTCCACCTGATCGGCGAGGACGCCGCCTGCATCGCTTACATCCGCCTGACCCAGTACGTGGACAACCAGGGCCGGCCGCGCTCCAGCCAGTCGGAGGAGACGCGCGTCTGGCAGCGCAGGGACGGCAAGTGGCAGAACATCCACTTCCACTGCTCAGGCGCTCCGGCCGCGCCGCTCCAGTGAGGTGAGGACGGAGCTGCCGGGACACAGCAGGGGGGCGGGGCGGGGCGGGGCGGGGCGGGGGGGAGGTTTGTGCTGCTTCTCGCCGCCGGTGAATTAACGCCATGGTCCGCGACCAGAGGGGGTGTCACTTCGCTGACCGCTAGAGGTGGTGACAGGAGGGGAAGCAAAAGGCCGAAGCTGATGACACGCAGAGGTGGAAGCAGCAGGTGTAGCGCGATTCGCATCAGACCTTTTTTTTATCTGCAATAACTTAGTTATGACAATTCAGCCAAATATAAAAACATTTCTGCGATATCTAAGCTTTTTTTTTTGTTCTTGGGTTATCCGGCTATTTCTTGGTGGCAGCCCCAAATCCATCCTTTCAGTACCCAATACTTGACTTGATCACTTTAAAAGTTGACGGTTGGACCTGAAAAGGCCTCAAAAAGCCACAGAATCTCGTTTACTGCCAGAAAGGCGTCTATATTACATGTTTTAACACTGTTTTTCTTGTCTTCTCAGGGTCGAATGCTCTAGCTTCTTCTGCCAGGGGGGTGAGGGCAGGAGGAGGAGGAGGGGAGAGGAGGAGGAAGGGATGGTTCGGGCACAGACCCCCCCCTCCATCAACAGACCCTCCCACACGGGACACTCGGCTCAACCCCCAGCATGCATCACTTCTTCTACCGCCACCGTCTGTCACGCCCTCAGCGGCTTCGTCGTCCTTCCTCTTCTTCCCTGCGGCCCACCGCGTTGACCGGCGAGGGGGTCTTTAGGGGTCGTGGTTGCGCCCGGCGTCCCGGTGTGGTTCCTTCTTCTCGTGGTCTCTTCATCTCTTCCCCCCGCAGGTCATGTGACACCGACCCTCCCGTCCCCCCACCGTCAATCCACACTTGTGTGACATAAACACTGCACTGGAAATACAACATGTAAAGTTTTAAGTCAAATCTATTATCATTACTCTATTAATATTATTATTATTATTATTATTACACATTTGCAATTGTATATGTAATGTTATATAATTCTAACTTCTTGATGCCGGTGGTTCCTAGAGTTGAATGAAATCCTTTTTTTTTTGTTTTTCTCTTTATCTTTTTAAGGAAGCATGTTTTTTCCCATATTATCAGTGGCTGTTTTTTTATTGTGGCTATATAGTGGATATGATATTGGCAGTTTTTGTAATTTGCTTCTTCTATGTGAGCTGTAATACTTCGCCTGAACTCGAGTTCAACACGGTATTGTTTGTTTTGGGGTTTTCTTTTTCTTATTTTTTTCAAGGCTTATGTCTGAACGTATTACTTGTGGATGTTGAGAGGAAGTGTGTGTGTGTGTGTGTGTGTGCGTGTGCGTGTGCGTGTGTGTTATGGCGGCCGTGGAAGAGGTTAGCTCAGCTCAGTGTCTCCAAGCCTCCAAGACATCAATGTTTCAAACATTCAAAGCGAACGGCTTACACCTTAATAGGCGCTTTATCGTATATGTGCTTTTCCATCCTCAAGGTCGACGCACACATGATGAAATGAACGCACCCTGAATGTTGAGACCAAAGAGGAGAGATCACAGGCTGCTTCGTTTGATGCTTCACTGAGGTATTTTGAGGGTGCTTTGAGCACATGGAAGCCTCTGACTCTACAGAAGAAAGATCTTGTAAAGGCACATTTGTGACTCTTAAATGAAGCGGAGGCCACAAAAGGCTGCGTGGACACAAGCAACAGCACGGTTTTAAAATAAACTCAGGATTAGATTTAGTTCTAAACAGGTTGAACTGGACACTGAGAAGATGTTAATCCGCTCTACTCTTTTTAATTGAAGAACTTTAAATACGCAAACCACAGCTGATTTTTTAATTAACCCAAAATACTCTTTTAAAAAAAAAATAATAATATTCTATTAATTTTTTTCCAGTCATTTAAACACAAACAAATGAGAAATTAGTAAAAAAAAACTGATATTAAAAAGTTTCTTGATCTGACATTTTTTGTTAATAAAGAAAAGTATCTTACTCTATAACATCAAATGAGCTTGTTATAATGAGAATATTTTCCCCTTAACAGAAACCGATCCCGATGCCTTGCTCAAAGTACCACTGATATAGCACGCTCTTTCTGTTTGTGCACACCACGGGCTGCAGAACCAGAGGTGCTCGGGGCGGTCGGGGGAACGCGCCGTCGGTGGCTGCTTCTGTTGCTAGGCGACAGCTGAAAACCTGCTCGGAGCCCAGTGAGCTCTCCTTAGAAGTTGTGATATTTTTAGCTCGCTAAAATGTCGATGCTGTCTGGAACCTTTCAAAAAAAAAAAAAAATCAAAA